CCTGCACCTCTGGTTCAGGAATTCTTCCACTGCTCTTGCAGATGGAAGAAGCCTGCCCTCTCTGGATTCTCCCTCACTTTTATCTTTCTCCCCGTTCCCCTCCTCCTCCTCTAAAGTTAGGCTACCTGAGATCTTCAATCCATCAGATTTCAGAAATGGGAAGAGGTAGGCAACCTCGATTCTAGGCTTTAATGTGCAAGAGTTTCTAATTACTCCCTTGGAAATAGCTTTAAACACCAGGGACAGTTTTGAATTGTTCCTTTTTTTCTGGAGAGCAAGTCCTGGAGAATGAGGAGTGATCCAGTGGGATTCTAGTTTGAACTGGAATCCAGTTCCATTTTCTTACTCCCATTGTATGGATGAGGAAACTAAGGCTCTGAGGTGAGGCATCTTGCCCAGGTTCCAGAGCAGATCTATCTGATTATTAAGTCTTTGTCTCTTCCATTGCCATTGGCCAGGACTTGGTTTGCACTGGAAACTGGGAAGAACCAAATTCTAATATTGAGAGGGGGATCTTGCACCTAAGGATCCTGGGTGAGTTGTTATATGCATGGAGCATGGGGAAGTCTGACCATCCAGTACTCTCTTGATCTAGTATTGTGTTGATTGAATGGTTTTTAAAAAATAAATAAGTGAATGAATAAATAACTCCCATTCATTCACCACACCCAGCTTCATGTCAAGCTTTTTCCCACATCAGGGCCTTTGCACTAACTGTTCCCTCTGTCTGGAATGCCCTTCCCCCAAATATTCACCTAGTTGACTCCTCTTTCTTTAGGTCCAGCATAACTGTCACCTCCTCCAAGCAGCTTTCCCTGAATACTGTATCTGAATGTAATTTCCTCTCAGCACAAAGCACTTATGATCTATAACTATCTTTTGTTTCTCTTTGATTCCTTCCTTCTTGTCTATCTCCCCCGCCCCACAATGTCTGCCCCTAGAATGTTGGCCCCACCAGAGAAAGAATTTTTGTCAATTTTTTTCCACTGCTTTATCCCCAATTTCTAAAATAGTGCCTGACAATAAATGTTTATGGAAAGAAAGGCAAACGGAAACAAAGGCTAAATGACTGAGAGAACAAATGAATGGATTGTATATGTGTAAGGCTAAATAAATGAAATGAAATATATGAATAAAAGGGACTTTGTGGGAAAAGGACCCCAAATTCCCACATTTGCAATACAGACAAACAGATTTAGAGAAACAAAATGACAGTTATTTTATTTTTGTTTAAAAATCTTTGAGTGAGGAGAACTGAGAAATTTGTATAAAAAGGGCCCTGGCTATTGCTAGGGTGAGTGTGGGGGTCAGTCAGAGATAATATCATTAGCGGTTGGTGGGGAAGAAATGGACCTTGGGGGCCTGGAAGCCAAAAGAGGAAAGCAGGGAGCAGTGGCTGCCAAGGGGAGGGAGCACTGAATAGGTGGGGATGGTGGTGACTCAGTCATCCCACTCATCATCCTCATCGTCATCTCCAGCCTGGTCCTCCCCTTCATCTGGAGGGAGACAAAAAGAGTGGAACTCAGGATGGGTAGGAGGGTTAAAAAGCCTGGGGAAAGAGGGTTCCTAGGGCCTGAGAGTTCAGGACTCAGGGCCCTGGGGGGCTGAGGTCTCTTACTAGGAAATCAGATCTGGGGCCTATGCGTTGGATGAGAGAGAGTTAGGGTTTCTGTTTGGGACAAGATAGGGATTATAGTTGGGGTCTGGGTTCTAGTTGGAGTTGAAGTTAATTTTGTCAAAAATGTGTGGTTCTTTAGTATTTTATTGTCACAAAAAGGGTTAATGTTAACGGGTTTGTCATTTAATGGAGTGAATTTAAATATTATTAGCAAAGGGACTAAATTACAATATTATTGTTTCATACTGGGTTAATGTTGATATTGTTGACACATAATGACGTTAATGATAATATCATTGTCAGAAGATGAGGTTCATTATAATGTCATATAATGGATCCATGTTAATCTTGTGGACATAGTCTGGGTTAATGTTAATATTATCATCAAAGTTGGAGTTAATCATATTATTGTCACATAATAATTATTGTCACACATATTAGCCTCACATAATTGTCATATGATGACAATACTGTTGACACACTAGGGGATTCATGTTAACATCATTGCAAAAAGATTGGGTTAGTTATATAATATGACATAATGAGTTACTGTTAATCTGTTGACACATGGAATTTGGGTTAACATTACTGTCAAAGATGGGGTTCTTTACAATATTATCATCACATAGTAGGCTAATGTTAACACTACTGAACGAATGGGATTAATGTTAATAATGTGGACATAGGATATATCTTGATATTAATGTTAATATTATTGTCAAAGATAATTATATTATTGTTATGTAATGACATTAGCATTGTCTAAAAGGAAATTGATACAAGATTTACGTTAATACTATCATCAACAGATAGGGCTAATGTTACTATTGATGGAGACTGTTGGGGTTGTTTTCAGGCCAACACTAGCCCTGGGAAGCAGGGTCACTGTCCTGGCAGGATAGGTTCCAGAGAGGGCAGCCTGCAGGTAGCAGGGGAGGGTGGGCTCTCACCTGAGGAGTGGATGGCTTTGCTTCGCTTCTGCATCACGTGCATCAGGGCTCCTACCAGCCCTTCTGAGCTCTGAGGTGGTGGCTGCAGTGCAGAGCTCTCAGAGGACCCAGGGGTCTGTAGCAAGCAGAGTCCAACACAGAGGGTTCAGGGCCTTCTCCCTGCCCCTTCCCACACCACCCACACCCTCCAGTCCCTTTCAAGGCTCCAAGCCCACCTCTTCCCACCAACCTTCCAACCCTATAACTGAACCCCAAAAGCCTTGAACTCCCATCAGTCATAGCCCTGGACCCCCAATATTCCGACTTGAACAGTGCTCTCCAGAGTCCCAGACCCCCAGTCCTTCATCCTGCTGGTCCTCACCTTGTTCAGCTGAATTCCCTGCCGGATTTGATCCAAAAGTGCCCCCCGACCCCCACCAGGGGCCAGGCCCCCCACAGGCCCCAGAGAAGGGGGGGGTGGGGGAAGGACTGGCCCATCCCCAGAGCTGGGTGGTGGTGGTGGTGGCGGTGGTGGTGGCGGCGGCAGGGGCAGACCCCCAGCTCCTGGGGGCGGAGGGGGTGGTGGTCCAGAACGTCCTGTGGCTGGAGGAGGTGGTGGTGGAGGGCCCCCTCGGCCTGGGGGTGGGGGGCCCCGGGGAGTTGGTGGGGGCAGAGCACCTCCCAAAGGTACAGGGGGCAGTGGACCAGAACGACCCTTGTTACTCCCCATAGTAGGGGGCCGGGGGGGCTGGTTCCCTCCTCGAGATGGCGGTGGAGGTGGTGGAAGTGGCTCTGAGGGGGGAAAATAACACATAGCCATTATTATAGTTTCCTTCCAAGCCTCAGTTTTGCTCATTTGTAAAATGGGTACCCAACTGACCAACTCCCAAATCAAGCAGTAGAGGGGTTTCCATGAGGACTGACTGCAGTGTATCTCTCAAAATCAGCTACCAAGGTTGGAGAAGAAGTGGGTGTCCAGAAGGGGGGACTCACCATGGCGCCTCATCTCCTGCCGCACAGCTTCCAGCCCACCCTGGTCCTCAATGAAGTCATAGATAAGTTTAGAGGTCTCAGCATCAGTGAGCTGGGCCTCACTGATTCCTGCCCTAGAGAACAGGCTCCGCAGATCTGGGTCCAGGTTGTTTACCTGCCCAGGAGGAAAAAGTCCAGGAAAGGGGTGGGCAAATAAGGTGGGGAGGGAAGGGGCACAGATTATCACTGAGTCCACCCCAGAGAAGGAACCGAGATGGGTGTGGGAAGGGTGGGTTCTGGGGATAGGTCTGATTGGTAGATTATGAAAGGGTAGGTGGGAGTTGAGTGGGGTCCAGGGGACTTTAGAGTTACTCACGTCAAATCCATTCTGGGGGTCCCACCCCACGTGGCTCACATGTCTAGGGAAGGTGAGTAGACCCCAGTGAAGCTCCATTGCCCTTCATTCCCTACCTTCCTAGTGAAGCCTTCCTGCCCTCTCCTGCCCAGAGGGACTCTGGAGGGGCCAGAATTAATTAATGAGCCATGAGTGAATGAATGAGTGAATGAGTGAGAGCAGTAATTATGGAATTAGAAGGGCTCCATAGCTTGTGGACCCATCTGTCCATCCATCCACCCATTCATTTGTCCACCTAGCCATTCACATTCACGTCAGACCACTGATGTATTGTACATTTGTCTTTCCACTCATCTGCCCCTGCACATCTATTTACACATTTGTCCATCAATCTGTCCTCACACACATTTGTCTATCCACCCATCCATCTGCCTATGTGCCCACCTTTCCATCCATCCACTCACTTGTCTCCATTCAACCACGTACTTCTGTCCATTTATCCACTGAAGTGTCCATTCATCCACATATCTGGCACCTACTTATCCCCATCTATCTTGTCTTGAACCAATCAGCCTATATATCCATCTCACCCATCCTTCTACCCACCCACTTCCTATTTACCCATCCACCCATCCATCCAGCCACCTATTCATTTATTCTTCAACCCACCTATTCATTTCATTCATTCATCCATCTATCCATCTACCCACCCATCTATTCATCCACCAACCCACCCAGGGTAGAACTAGGGTGAAGCAAGTGAGGTGCCTAGGGTGTAAAACTTAAGAAGGCACTCACTCTCAGAGTCGTGAATTGCATTTACATTACCCTGAGACTGACTGTCTCCATAAATTTTGCAACCTTGATACTTCTCTTGCCTCTCCCTAGTCCTGGCCTTGCACTCACCCATCCACTCGTTCACTCACCCACTCATCCATCCATCTGTCCATTCCTCCATCTACTCAGCTCTCCTCCTGTCCACCTGTTCATCTGCCCCCCTCCTAGGGATCTGTGGGCCCACTCGGGAGAGGTTCTCACTTGAATCCACTGGGCGCACCAATATCAGCCTTGCTGATCTTTTTCTTTCCTGAGCGTTTCTTATCAGCTGGGCCAGGCCCAGGTGCCGGGAGCCCACGATATCGTGAACTTGTGATGTCCGGGTTCTGAATGTCTACTGTTACCAGCCCCAGGGACAGTGGGCCAGCTGCTGGACCTGTGGGGAAAATAGGGTGACTAGACTATTGACTCACTTATCTACCAATCAAAGCATAAGGGCAAGAGATAGAAAGACTTTGAGAAAACTGTGTGTGTGTTTTAAGATCAGAGAGGAAGTGGGTGAGGGATCCAAAGAGAGTTTATAGAGAAATGGGTAAGTGGGTCCCACAAACCATTCATACATTCACTGATTCCTTTATTTGTTCATTCACTCATGCTTATCACTTAAGTATTGACTCAGTTATTCACTGGCTCATTCACTAATTTGTTAAATTATTCATTCACTCATTCACTCATTCATTCATTCAATCATTGCTTTCTTCACTGATTGAAATTTTGTCACTGTTCAGTTCAATCACTCACTCAATCATTAATTTACTCAATCATCTAACCATTCATCCACTTATCCATATACCAATTCACCTATGCATCTATACACTCACCTATACATCTATATATCTATTTATATTTTGATCTTTCCATCAATTCATCCTCCCACTCAACCATCTATCCACCACTAATCCATCCACCTACACATCTACCCACCCATTCACCCACTTATCTCTGCACCCATCAAATTACTCATCCATCTACCCATTCCCCACCCATCTGTCCATCCACTCACCCACCTGTCCACGAAGGGGCACAGAAGAATCAGTACTCACCTCCTTGGTCTCCACCTGGGGGTGGGGGCAAAGGTGGGAGCCCTCCTCTTCTTTCTGGGAAGATGGAATGGATAGGGAGCTATCACAACCCTGCCACAGGTTCTTAGGCTAGCCTCTTATTACCCCTACTTGCACTAGAGCAGAGGTCCCCAATCCCCAGGCTGTGGACCCATACCAGTCCATGGCCTGATAGGAACTGGACCTCACAGCAGGAGGTGAGTGGCGGGTGAGCAAGCAAAGCTTCATCTGTATTTGCAGCTACTCCCCAGTGCTAGCATCACTGCCTCAGCTCCACCTCAGATTATCAGGCATTAGATTCCCATAGGAGCACCAATCTCTAGTGCCAAAAAGGTTGGGGACCACTGCTCTAGAAGACTCACCTTCACTGGCTGGTGCTGGTGGTGGGGGTAGCTGGCGTCTGTCTGTGGAGAGACAGGTAGACTGGGAACCAGAACCATGAGAGAGGCTTTTCCAGCTCCCCACTCACACTCACCTCTGCCCAATCTACATTCCTCTCCTGAGGTCTCCTCACCTCCACTTTGCCTCTGATTCCTTTTCTGTATCTTCTCCTGCACCAGGGCCCGGAAGGCCCGGGCTTCACCCTCGTCGGCAAAGTTCAGCCCCGCTTGGCAGTCCTGCACACACCTTGGGGTCAAAAGCCTTCCAGACCTTGCACACCTCTCCCATCTCCTCCCCCAACCCCAACTGAGGCCCAGGAGTTGGGAGGTCACTTACATCTCCAGCAAAGGTGTGGAAGAAGGGGGTGGGAGTGGAGTAGACCAGCTGTGAGTACAGCTCCTGTTCCCAGAGCAGCCGGCCTGCCTGGAAAGGTGGAGAACACACTGGCACTGAAGCATGCCCCGGGTGGCAAACCTCTGTTATCTGGGCAGGGAGCACGGTGTCCAAATTTGAAGCCCCAAGATCTGATTTGGAGATTTCCAACTCAACATCAGAGAGCTGGGGGTCTAGGAATTAGATGTGGAGAGTTGGGCTGTACTATGGGAGTTAGACACTGCAGTGAAAGCTTTGGATTTGGGATTTAGGGCCTTAGATGTGAGACTTGGGGAATCGAATTTGAGGAGTCTGGACTCTAGTTATAGGAAACTGAGCCCATTCTAGACTCCATCCCACATACCCCTTATGGAAGCCTTCATTTGGGCAGGCAGGACTCCAGTATTGGGAGTCGGGGTTGACATTTGAGGTTCAGGCATAGGGACTTGGGAGTTTGGGGAGAAGGGTTCAGACAAGGTATGTGCAAGTTTAGGTTTGTGAAGTAGAGTTATGGTTTAGGAATTTGGTCAGTATTCGATGGTCCTGGGATCTTGATGTGGTTATGCTGGGTTCATCTTTATGGGTTTAGAAGGATGAATTTGGGGTATGTGCCTGGGGAGTTCAGGTTGGGGGTTTGTGGAAAAGATTCAGGAATTCTGGAGTCCATTCTGTGGGTTTAAAAGGACAGATTTGGAGTTCAAGACACGATGGCATATTCAGGTTTGGGGTTTGTGGAACAGATTTATGACTTAAGAGCTAGGCAAACATCTGGAGTTTAGGAGTTTTGATAGGGGATTTCTGGTACCCAAATGTTGAGTTTAGAGAAGATTTAAGGTTCAGGTAAAAATATAGTGCTCTTTTTTTTTGGAGTTTGTAGAACAGATTAGACTTAGAAGGTATACTAATATGTGGCAGGTTATAGATCTCGACATGCAGACTCTGGGGTCAGTCATCACAGACTTAAAAAGGCAAACCAGAGTTTGACATCTGGATGACATCTTTGGTTCTGGGGCCCAGGGGTTCACTGATCTGTCCAAGGGTTTGGGACTATGGACACAGATTTTGGTTTGCGGGTTGAAAACTAGTTGGCATGTCCAGTGAGGGTGGGGATCACCTGAAGGCCATAAAGGCGGATGAAGTAGGACTTCTGGGGGTTATCTTTCACGAAACACACAGCCCCACAATGCTCCTTGGTCCACCGCTCGGCTCCAGGGGGCAGCGCCAGGTACAGCTGAACAACCGCAGTGGCCAGCGTCTGGGAGGGGAGAGTGGGGTTCAGTGGATCTGGTCAGGGGCAACCAGAGAATCTGGGAGGCAGACCTGGTCCTTCCTTGCCCATGGCTGTCATGGCCCTAAAGGAAGAGCCACAACCAGAGAGAAAGTAAATAGACCTAGAGATCTTCCTAAGATTGGTGAATGGGGGTAAATGAGTTCTAGGAAAGGAGATGATGGAGAGAGAAAAGAGGAGAGGAAGAGGGGAAGAACGAGAAGGGAAGAATGGGAAAGATGAAGGGAAGGAAAGGAGGGGAGGAGGAGGAAGGGGAAGATGAAGAGAGGAAGAGGAGGAAAGGGAGAAAGACAGGGAGGGCCAGGAGATCCCCAGCTCACCCAACATTTCCGTCCAAGCATCTCGAAGAGTCGCTGGTTCTCATGGTCTTGGAGAAGAGTGGAAGGTATGTTCTGCTGAAAAAAATGCCGCGGCCCAGGCCTGCCTCCCACAGGGCCCCCACTCATGGTGCCTCCTGCCCTGTCCTCGCTTGCTAGGCTCTGAGTGCAGGGTAAAAAGAGGAACTTGCAGTGAGCAGGGGAACAGGAAGTGCAAAAAACCACAAGGGAAACAAGTCCTCCAGGGGCCCCTCGGTGGGCCTGGCCTCCTCCTCACTAGGACAAGCTTGGACCCTCTGCCCTTAGACTGAGGCCCTCCTCCATTTGACTGGTTAGACCCATCTGTTGAATGAGCTCATGTCTTCCTCCTTCTTTCTTTCTCTTTGGGTTCCATCTCCCTCTGACTGGATCAGCTCCTCCTCCCTCTGATTGGCTAACAGCAAGAGCTAGGCCACTTTGGCACTTCTGCAGGGCAAGCTGCGGTGGTGGGAAACAGTCATGGGGCTGGGCGGCCTCCTTCCTCCCCAAAGCACCCCGTTAGCCTGGGCCTAAGGTCCAAGGCCCCTAGTGCTGAAGAATTACTGTGCTAAAACTTTTTCTTTTAATTACACAGTGAGCACCTGGGATCCCACCCCTCTCCTGAGACCTCAACAACCCAGCTCACTTCCCCAACTCTTACCCCGGCCTCCCCACAGCTCCCAAATTACTTTCTGTTTATCATTCCCTTTTTTGAAGAGAGGAACTTTATAGTATATACGAATGCCTAAACAACATCTTGTTTCATTTTCGTTGCTTTTGAACTTTCAAAGTATGCAATATTCAGAGACTTGCTTTTACCTCACTTAACATTCATGTAGCACTGAATATGTGTGCCAGGCACTGTTCTGTCCACTTTGTAAATACTGGCTCATTTAAATCCTCATAACAGCCTGCAGGACACACACTGTTACTGTGTCCATTTGACAGAGAGAAATGAGGGGCTTTCCCAGTAGCTCCCAGCTAGCAAGTGGGAGAGCCTGGATTGCGTGCCAGGCAGGCTGGGTCCAGAGGGCACACTTTTCATCTCTATGCTTCATGCCTTCTGTTACCAAGATTTGTATTTGCCTGTAGTAGTTGTTCATCTTTACTGCTGTATAGTATTCTATTGAGCGACTTTACAACTTGTTTATTCATATTCTCCTATTAACAGATATTTGGAGTGTTTCTGGCTTTTGCCATTGGGAGCAATGCTGCTGTGTTCACTCCTGTACACATTTCCTGGTCTACACAGTCATGTATACTCTCAGAAGGTAAGTTAGGGGGTTGTAAGGTTTGCATATCTCTAACTTTACTGGTAGACTGTTTAATGCCAGACTGTTTCCCCAAGTGAATGCTAGCTCAGTCCCCACTCGTCTCTGGGCCTCAGAGCTTTGGGGACACTAAGCTCTCAGGCAAGAGGAGCAGTTTGAGGGAGCTGAGCAGGTCTGAGGTGTGACTGACATTCCTGGGTACCTGAAGGGAAATAGCACATCTTAAGGTGAGACCCACATTCCTGCCTAGAAACCTGCTTGGCTCCCCATGCTCGCAGGTTCAAAGTTTCTCTCCTAAGTCTAGGTTCAAAGCCCCTTCTGATGTGGCAATTTCAACCTCCCTCCCACTTCTCCCACCTCATAACTCAGCTTATGGTGCCTCCAACTTACCAGGTGATTTCCTACCTCCAAACCTGGGACACCTTCCAGCCTGTCCACTAGGACAAGCCCCTGCTTCTCCTTAAAAGGCCATTGCATTCGTTCATTTTAACACTGTTCATTGAGCTCTCACGATGCGCCAAGTATCTCTCTAGTATCTGGCACAAACTAGGCGTTCAATAAAAGAAGGAATACATGAGAGAATAATGACTAATTGATTTAGTGTTTTCTGAGCTTTTTCTAAGTGCCTTACATTTATTTACTCATTTCACATTCACAGACGATGACATGAATCAAGCACTACTGTCATCCCCATTTTAATGATAGGGAAGCTGAGGCCCAGAGAAGCTTTGCTAACTTGCCTGTGATCATACAGCTTGCGAATGATGAAGCAGAAGCCAATTATGTGAGTTCCGAAACTTAAAATTCTTCTGCTTCTCTATGTCTTTTGTTCTCCACCTTCTTACTCCTTTCTCTGCCCCTACATCTGTCTCCTTTATGTTTACATCAGGGGGCCTTAAACCTCTGCTACATCTGCTGGTTGTTTTTTAAATTAACTTTTAAAAGTTGTATATTTCTTGTTCTTACTTCTCAGTAGCAGACAGGTTTAAAAATTATATTTTCCTCTAAATACAAAACCTAGACAAGCAAAGTAAAATAATACACAAAAATTTAGTGTGCCTAATACATGTCAGATATTGTGATGAAAACAAAAAAACCTAAAGTAAATTTGTTATTTCAGTCCCTAATAGAATTTCTCCACCTTAGAATATAGTGATTTATTAATCATCTTAATACAATTTTTCATATTATTCAGATTACTGAATTACTCTGTTGACCTTAATTAATAATCTGCAGCTGGTTTATTTTGCTTTTATGTGTTGCCATCTACTCTTGCTTTTCTGCACTGAATGACAGTACTTGGGCAGGTGATGACCTCAAAGGTAACTTGCTCTCCTGGGTCTTCAAATAGATTAAAAAAGAAGAACAAAACCTTAATCCAACCTTTCCTGCTGTTCTCAGCAGGAGAGTGAGTCAAATATAAGTCAGTCCACCACTTCTGGGAGAAGTTCTAACTTACTTTTTAGTAATCCAGTGAATGCCCAGGAACCCCAAGGACTAGGTATTCCCAATAACTTACACCCACCTAATGCTACCTCACCACCTCCTCCTGACAACTTCCCAGGGGTCACTAAATGGAGGCACTTCTTGTTTATATCTTGTGCTTATTTGCTTTGAGAGGATATTGCCTACAAGATCAACTGCCAAGCCTCAAGCCCTAAGTAGGTAAAAAGACAGTCTGTGATATGACATAGGGGTGTCTATCATATTCCAGTTACTACCATGTGACTGAGTCCATGGAGGAGACATAGGCATGGATAGGGTCCTACTGCTGTCTGCTAAGACCCAACTGAGGTCAAGAGGACAGAATGTCCATTGCTGCACCATCCTCCTCCTCTCCTTACCTTCCTGCCCCTCACGGTCCTCTGTACCTCTGACTGAGGGGTGCTTCCTGGGGACAGGCCCACTCTAAAAAAACAGCACTTCTTGATCTAACCCAATGCTCCCTTTTAATAAGAAACATTTTGGGAGGCCTCTTTTTACCATCCTGGAATGACATTCATGAATATTACAACTCTTAGTGTTGCAGGGCTGTCCCCCAGTATCTCGGGACCCTACCAATTCAATATGGAGGCACCCCCAACACTCTGATAACCAAAGTCTGCCTACTTGGCATTCCCAAAACACAGCCCCAGGGCAGGATGGAACACAAGGCTTGTCTGTCTTGTTCATTGCCATATCCCTACCACCCTAGCACAGGATCCTATGTGCAGAAGCTCAACCACTATTTGTTGAATAATCATTGTACAGTGCAGATTTTTTTGCTGTGATTTACTGTCCTTGTCCCACAAGGCTTCCCTGTCATCTCTTCACCCCCATGCCTGGGAAAAGGGGAAAGAAAAACAACTCAGAGTGTGCAGGGGCCAGCCCCACCCACAGAAATATCTACATTGTTCACTGATGCTATGAGCAAATAGGTGCTTTAGGGGCCCTCAGAGAGGGGCTGATTTCTTGTCCAGGGGGTGGTGGAGTGAGGATAGGGTACGCACAGAAAAGCAGAGACACCTGTAGAAATAAGAATGGCTCAGTGGTCAGAACCACAGATTCTAGAGCCCTATAGCTTGGATCTGGCACTTAAAGTCTGGTAACCTCTCAGTGCTTCAGTTTTATAATCTATAAAGTCAAGATAGTTATAGCAGTTAAGGTTATTGTGAAGACTAAATGACATAATTCATGTACAGTGATCAGGACAGAGCTTAACACTTTATAATTATGTATTGCTGTTGTTTTTATGAAATGGCTAAGTAACTTGGATAAATGAACTATCATCCCGTCAGCCTAGCATTCATCCTGTGACACACCCTCATCCTCTCCTCACCCTCCTCCATCACTTTCAGGTCCCACCACCACTGGCAGATGGTCAAAGACCCAGAACACATGACCACCTTCCCACTGCCCTTTCTCTACTCCCCGCCTGCTGCTAACCCCATCTCAGAGATCCATCCTCTGGGCCTAGCGAGACTCCTCCAGGGCTGTGACATGTTCCTGCCAACCTCAGAGGTCTCACCCATCATGTTTCCCAACCTACTCCCCTGACCTCCACAGGAAATCACTGTGCCAGCCAGCCCTCTCCTTCCCTCCTAGGTTTGTGGCTGCTAGCCAGGGAGCTAGAGGACCCCTCCTAGTCCTTGCACTGTCCACACCCTCAAAGTCACCACCAACTCTCCCTAGATGGGTGTTCCCTACCTCCTTGCACTCCAATCTGTGACCCCAAGTGTCCATTCCCCAGCCTGTGATACCAGAAGTGTCTACACCTCAGTGTGTGACCCTAGGGGGTGTCTACTGCCCAATGAGTGTGACCTCATGAGTGTACACTCGAGGAGTGTACATTTCCCAGTATGTATGTCCCAAAGGCTGCCCACACCCTTGACTGTGTGATCCTAGGAGTGTTAACACGGCAGCTTGTAATGGGCCACACAATGGAACAGTCCACCAAGAACCGTGCCACTGGAGAGGAAGCGGCCATCTTGCAACATACCATTTTATTTGTGGGGGAGGAATATGACAGGTGCCTCATGTCGCAATCCCGGTTATCTCACGATCCTCATCCCATCCTCCCGACTCCCACCCGCTTCGGTGGGCTTCACGCTATAGTCGCAGCCCTGGACTCTCCCACATCCGCCATTCTCAA